CATAGAAGTGCCATGTCTTAAGAGTATATATAAATATGGCACAAGGGAAAGCCTCACATGTTCACACCTTCCCCATTTTGTGAAAAAGCAAAAATGATCCAAGTTGCACAGTCAAAGCACAAAGCATCCTATTCTTGCATTGTTCTTTTTATTGCAGAAGTGTTTTTGCTTCAGAAAATACACACTACCAAACTCAGAAGTAGTTTTTTGTTTCCCAAAGCACGAAGGTACTTCCAAAAGCTTATAAAAAAAACTTAAGTTTCTGGTGGTTTCCCAGTTGCAGTATGACTATTAGTTAAATCCCATTTGATGGTGATGGGTTCGTATAGTGATTGTAAATGTGGTGTCCCAATCAAATTTGAACATTGTAGTGCAAAGGGATGAAATTGTAATTTTACTTTGCATAAAGGGGCCAATATGATAATTTCCAAGAGTTAAGGGCTTGATTGCAAATGTGTGTTGGACCTCTTTGCAATTTTAGGAAATATTTCTAATCTTGACAACGGATTACAAAGTGAATTGAAGATTCCAATCAAAAAGTAGAGAGATAAGGATCTTCTTGGGAAAGGAAACGCTAAAGATCTCGTACCCTCCTAGGATGTCCATAATGCAGGGACTAAAGAATCAAATATGGAATTTTCTTAAATTTTTTGTATTTTTGTATATTTGGACAATATGGGTATTTTTGTCATTTAACTAGTCCTGTGTGGGGCCTGGGCTATAACATCTTGTTCATCTAGTTTAGTGGGGTTTTCTCAATTTTCAGTTTATTTGCGTTATTAGATAGAATGCTATTGTGTTTCTTGATGCACAAGACAGGGAGAGGCATTTTTGTAATTATGGTGAACAGTATTCCGAGTCACTCTATAAATTGATGTGTTCTTTTCCTTTTGAAGCTAATGAATGAATGAATGGATGAAGATTTCTTAGAGCTCTCTTGCAAGTTTTCTGTATGGAGTGATTCCTACAAACCCTAGAGTGATTCTAGGACCCCGTTGGAGTGATTCCTTGGGATTTTTTTCCCTTTTCTCTTTCTCTACCCTTTCTCCTCTCTCTCTCTCTCTCACACACACACACACACATACACTCTCTCTCTTCCTCTCTCTTTCTGTCTTGTGATAGTTTGTTCCAGCCCTACTTCCTCAGTCCACCACTCTATATATATGATATATAGATGTCCCAAACATGAGAGTTCAATCAGCCCTAATGTACAGCTCATTCTGGTGCTCAACAGATTTAGATTTGGGAGCAATAATTGCAGTGGACAAAGGTAGCAATGTGACTCCTGTTAGAGGAATCAATTTGGCAACTTGGATCATGCTATTTGACAGAAATTTTCAATAAAAGATTCAGTCTTGGATGGGACAACTAGGCTTCTACAAGTATGAAATAATAGAAAATTTTAAATAGTTGATATACCATGGAGATCTTGGATTTTCAGTGAAATCATTTACTTTTCTGTTACTTCATTGATTATGGCATCTACATTGCAACATACTGTTGGAGATGAAACTCCATGTGCTTCTCCTAAACCTAAAGAGAAAAGTATACTTCTAGACCTGCTATATGCCTACATCTGTGGTATTATGCTGGTTACTGCACATGATGATGAGTTCCAAAAAAACTTCCTGAAGCTTTTGTTCTATTAACCTGACCCACTGACATCCCTACAAGAAAGTAGGGAATTTCTAGCATAGTGAATTTCTCTCTTAGTTTTTAGATCATAGCCCTTTAAGGGGTCGTAGGATACTGCTAGTTGTCCTATATTTTGTTTTTCTTTCTCCTTAAGAACACTATAAGATAAGTAATGGATTCTATTCAGGATGGATAGTGTATGTCATGACTTTGAACTGTCATGATAATTGATTTTAATATAATACCTGTTTTAATAAAATATTCCAAACTTATAATATGCATACACTGCAGGAGTCTAGACTGAGAGTATCAGCAAGAACCTCAAATCTCTGATTGAGAGAATCTGTATGGGCATACCCACTTGAGCTGCCATCACCACTGGACTGGGCCCAATGCATGGGTTATCTAGCATAGTAGCATGTAGGCTGCAGGTCCATGGTCTTAGGACTGGGTCTTTGTTTATCCCATTTCTTTTCTTTATTACAGCAACATCACAAAGATAATAGTCAATAGTGATGGTTACAACCATCACCATATGGGTGCAATTCGGGTGGGCTGGGCCAGGTTTTAGCTCAACCCAGGCCCAACCCTAAGAATTGCACCTAAAGCCCAAGCCCACCACGAGCCTGAGGTCAAGTCGAAACTATCTAACTTGAGCACAGCCCGAACTCAAATTTGATGCATGCACTCAGGTTGGGTTCGGGCCCAGTCTGGGCTCAGGTTGGTTAATCAGCCCACACTAAAAATCGATATACATGTACGTGTATATGTATGCATATATATGCTTGGTTTATAAAAAAATTATGCATATATGCATGGTTGCATGCAAATATGTGTCTATATATGCATATATACATGTATATAATTGGTCTGAGCTCGGGTTGGGATAAGGTTGGGCTGGGTTCAGGCTACCCAAGGGCTAGGCCCAAGTTCAATCCAAAAATTAAAAAGCCCAAATTTTTGGGCCCAATGACTGACACGGGCTGGGCCTGCCCAAGTTGCATCCCTACATCGCTGATCACTACAACAGGGATGAAAACACTAGTTCTCAACAGCCAAGGAGAGGAGAAATACATTGCAGTAGGAGAAGATGGAAGAATCATGAAAAGAGGAGAAAATGAGGAAAGGAATCTACTTCGAACCCTGCTTTGGTATCGTATAAGCTTACCTGGAAACTTCAAGGCAGAAATCTGAAGTAGAAATGTAGAAGAAAATCAAAAGCAGCCTTACTTCTGAGAGAAGAGACTGCTGATTGAAGGAGAATAGAATATTATCCCAGTTGGCCAGCCCTTAATTTATATGAACTTGTCTAACTCAGCATAAATTACAATAATAACCTCCTTTAGTAAATAAGACTAAATTGACTATTATTACCTGTACTTGAGTCATAACATCAAAAGATGTTATGGGGTGCTTTGGCACATTCCTCGTACATTAATCCCTATTCTTTTCCTATATTTTAATAAAATTTTCCTGTTATCCAACAGGCTTGTCCCCAAGTAAGCATCAAGAAATAAAATAAAAGAAAGACAAATACATAAACATAATAATGGTTGGCTGCTCCCAACACTTGGGAATAGAGATTTTCTCATTGGTAATTACCCTTGTACAAAATTCCGCTTTGCAGAGTTGTTTAGCAGTTACCCTTCTGAACCAGTTTCTCTTATCTTTCCTCTATTTTTCTTGATTAAACACAGGTTTATTGCTGTTTTAGTTTACTTCAATTATTAACCAGGTTGAGTCCCATTAAAATGAGTTAAAAATTAACTTAGTTAAGCAATGTTGAAATTTCCTTTGTAAATCATATTGGGGTATGCTAATCTCAGTGAAAAATCGGGTTTTGGGTGAACTATGTCAAGGACTATAAAGGACTATGATTAACTTAATTAATCATCATCATCATATAAAGGACTATAAAGTACTAGGAGTTTAACAAAGATTTAATTTAATTGCATTCTTGCAAATAGGTATTAAATAACTAATAATTTAAATAATTACATGCACATACACACACACAGAGCTTAGAATTGATCTTTAACTTGGGCTTGTGATAGGCACTCAACATGGTTGATATGTTATTGACATAAGGCGCCTTAAGGTTGAAGTATGTGGTTATACTTGTAAGCATGATTGTCAAAGGTTAAGTCTCATGGTGTTGTTTCTCTTGAATCTTGCCTCAAGGCAAGCCTCATAGTATAAGCCTCACAGACCTTTTAAAACACTGGATTGAGAGTTGGATGAGTTCTTTCATAAATTTTAAAATGAGAGCCAATGATGCATGGACATGGATACTGGAGTCAGAACTCAACGCATGTGCAGGAGTCTGACTTGTTAAGATGAGAAAACGTGGACTCATGGAAACATATATAGAAAAATATATGCTATTAGAATAATTCATATCTTTTTGAATTCTAACATTATATACCTGCAAAAGGGAGTAAAAAATGTTGCCTTTGTTACCAACTAGTCTTTTTATATGAAAAATGACATTCATTTTGTATATTGGTTGTTCATTATGTTGAAAGACTCAAGATAGGAGATAAAAAGGAAATATTATGTAGAAGTGTCCTTCAGAATTTGTGGAGTGTTCGACTCTGGTGTTTGTCTGACAGAAACACCATCCGTTTAGGAGAGAATCAATGCAACATTGATCAGAAGATTCAGAACCAATGTGCTAGCCCATATCTCAATGACACCAACTTTGGGTTAGCTCTCACTCTGGCAGCAGATAGCCCTTTCCTTTGGCAGTTCTGACTTTGTTCTAGCTAGTCCTCCAGGGTAGCCATTCCATGATTTGAACCAGGGAAATGGGGCAACCTCTGATACTAAGTGTTGTGTTCCAGAGAAATGCACCCAAAACACTGGGATTGATGGAACACTGCAGTTCAGGCAGTTTTAACCTTAAGGACTACTAACAGTTTGAGAAATTGAAGTCTGAAATTGTGAGGTGCACCTCTTCCTCCTTCTTCTTCTTCCTCTCTCTCTTTCTTCTCTCCTTCTTCTAAGGGTTATTTCTCTTTTACCTGATTATCTATTCTTCTATTATCATCTTCTATTTTGTTTTCTGCAATATCCATTCCACTACCTACCTACACACTAGTAGGATATCTCTCCCTGTCCTACATCACCAAGTTTTTGACTTATTATGCTATATTGGTTATTTATCCTGGAAAAGAATGACAAGACTTACAATGCCTTCTGTGCCTGTATGGCTGATTTTATTGCTGTTGATGCTTAGGCCTATATTGCTTACAATTATATTGTGAAAACCAATGTTTGTTTTCATAATACATAAAGAAGATATGGATAAATCACATGATTTCTTTTTTAAATCTTAATTCCTTTTATGGTTTTGTAATTGACAGGACATGTTCTTAGCATTCACTCTGCTAGTGAATTAGAAACAAAGTTCAATGCTGCATCAAGCTTATCTCGTTTAGTGATCCTGTATTTCACTGCATCATGGTGTGGTCCCTGCCGCTTCATGTCTCCTGTTTATGAAAGCCTAGCAGGAAAATATTCACAAGTTGTTTTCCTGAAAGCTGACATTGATGAGTTGAGAGATGTTGCTGCACGATGGAATATTAGCAGTGTTCCAACCTTTTTCTTCATAAGAAATGGAAAGGAGATTGACAAGGTAATAGGAGCAGATAAGAGTGGCCTTGAAGGAAAGATTGCCCAGTATGCTAGCCAGTCCTAAGTGGGTCTTACATGCATGCACCTGGTTTCTCCTGCTAGGGGAAAGCTTCATCAATATGGATTTGATCTTATACTTGGGATTCCTGGAAACTAACTTCTTCACATGGTCCACATTGTCTTTCTATTGTTGGTTCTCTTGTTGAATTGTGTTACTGTTTATAAGAACAATGCTTGAACATCGCTAAAAGCTTGTGTGTTGTGTACGATGGGAATCTGTTGTTCTATTGATATAGAAGCATTGAACTTGGCCTCGAAAGAAGTTGAACATAAGTTTCAGGGACAACCATTTCTTCGCCCTATGTTGCCACCTGAGGTTTCATCAAAATCCAAAACGTTTGTGACCATTGTGTTTCACAAAGCCATTCCTTTTCATACAGAATCAGGAACGCCCCACATAAAAGATTCATTTGGTGTAGATGCATGCCGATGCCAACTGGGCATTTAAAGTGCTTTGGCTTTATTTCTAGAGTATTTTCACTATAACAATTGCATCCAAGGTTGTTAAAACCGAATCGGACAACGAACAGGTCAGGGGTCTGGTTGTTGGGTCTAACGGTCCGACTGTTCGAACCAAACAGATGGCCCATTCTGACCAAAAAAATAAAAAAAACTAAAAAAAAAAATTGACCAAATCAACGATTTTTGGGGAAATAATGGTTTTGGGGTAAAATGGAACCGGCACCTGACTGGTTCCCGGTTTTTTCGATCCGACTGTCAAGTCTAATCTGGTTTTAAAAACCATGATTGCATCTCACAAAAGCTGTCAGTTTTTTCTAATTTCAATGTGCCATATCAAATTGGTGATTAAGATCGCTTGGGTGACTCAAGAAACATCCCTTGGTTAAGAAGCCGGATCACCCGCCAACAAAATGTGTTCCAACACCCTGCCAACGTCATCTATCACCGTACATCTCACACATTACGGGTCCTCCAACTTCTTTGGATTAATAAACTTTCCCCCAACTGGCCCATTTTAACCCTTTTTCCCCGTCTCTTCATTTCACCAAAAACCCGACAAACCCGAATAAACCAAATCGATTATAATGGTTCTGGTTTTATGATTTTGTCCTATGGGTTGGTTTCACGTCTTGCCTGTCCTGAACCAATTTATACCCAAAATCAATTATTTTATTAAGGGATTGACTATGCTATGAGAAAAATATGATATCTGAATTTTTTTTTTTACCAATCAACTGGTATCATAAACGTGGTAGCCAATCAGGGGTTATTTATTAAAATTCATGGGTGGGTTTTGATTGGTCAAAGCTCTTCGAATACTATATCTTTCCTGCATCATAGATAATATATAATTGTTATCATTTTTATGTTTAAAATGATAAATTTGATAGATAATATTAGTTAAAAATGTTTAATTTATTAACATATAAACAATTTATTGTTTTGCTATTAATTTGATTAAGTTCATATTACAAAAACTTAATTTTTGTTATTATTTTAAAAAGTATAGTTTTTAATGCAATTGAGTCTATTGTATTTAAACCCGACTATTAACCGGGACAGTTCTGAGTCTATGATTTTGTCCCATTAATAATCAGTTTGGGTACATAGACCCGACCCACTGACATCCCTAATTCTCTCCATTTCCTCCAATGTTTTCTTAGGGAAATTAATAACACTCATGCAATAAGTTGGAGTGACTTGGAGTATTGATTGGATGATTGGATGATTGGATCATCATTTTCTTCCGAGCATAAATAGGGATGAGGCCTTCCACTTATTCAATTTTGCTTTCAGATTTTGTAATTCCTTTTCTTCCATAGGAGAGGTACCCTTAAATGAGTCATTTGATTTTGTAATATAAAATCAAGTGATCGCCTTTTGAAAGGATCCTATTGAAATAAATACAAGATTTTTGGAAGTTAACTTGCATACCAAATAATTTCTGTTACGTTTCCATGTTCATTCGCCTTAGCTATCAATTCAGAAAATCCTTTTGTAGCCAACAAAAACAATTAAGGGGAAATTGGGTCCCCTTACCTAATACCTCTAGAAGATTCAAAGTGGCCTTTAGGAGCCCCATTGATTAGTATTGAAAAAGTAATAGAGGATATACACTGCCATATAAGTTGGTACCCCCTTCCCAAGTTTAATTCAAATAGTTGAAGATCAAACACAAAATGTTTAAAAGTTCAGGATAATATAGAATTATGAATACCTTCAAACACAAATTGTCCACACCAATAGACAAATCGTAATTAAAGTCTACTATAAAAAATACTCTAACATACCAAGGAGATATAGGTCTAGAATTATACGAAATAAATTTGCCCAAAAGGTAGCTTTTAATTTTTTATTAGGCTTGCCATAAACACAAACAAGCAACCATTCCCTCTTAGGCCCCATTCTCTTTTCGGTAAGTTATTTTTCTAGGAAACACTTACCTGGTTAAATGCATTTTTATCCATGTTCTTTTATTTCTCAGGTAAATAAGACAATGGCCGTTTTAACCATAAAAATCAACTATTAAAAGGGATAATTTTGTCCCATCCAAGTATTGACAACTTTTCCACTACGTGGAAAAATACCCAAGAAAATAAGATTTCTTGATCCTCACATAAATCTGAAAAAAAAAGAACATATATTGTTTCTTGGTCAATGGAAACCAAAATCTTATTGACCAACTTTTCTCCCTCTCAAAATCCAAAAAACGAACGCCCCCTTAAGGAGAAAAGATCTACCAATGGCTAACATAAATCCCTTTTAGGCAATTAGAATGTCCACCACAGTATTATATTTCCAAAGGAGAGCTAAGTCACCAAATAGGCCTTTTAAAAGACCTCATTATGGTATTTCGATTTTCTTTGAAAAGTAGCCATCTTAGTATCAAGCAGTTTTGTTTCAAATAAGAAAAATGAAAATTGGGGAATATTTTCTTGATCAGGTTTACCATATTTTGACAAAAATTCTTTCTATTTACCCCTCCACTATTCCAAGCAAAGATAGACAAAGACTCATTATTAACCAGTTTCAACTTCTCAAAGGATAAGAAAAGATTTAAGTACAGGACGAGCCTCCTCGAGAGCTTCCCATTTGGTGATCCTGGGGTACTAAGTGCCTGTGGCTCGAGCTAGTTTCTCCTCCCTTCTTGATGCAAACACTTCCTCTACTACAAGAGCGTTGGCCAGATCCACTAGCTACTTATCCACCTAACCTTGAAACAAGGACCAAGGACCAGGAAGATTTTCAGATAATCAGTAACAAGCCCGCCAAACCGTCGAGCTAACAAATTAAACAACCCACCTTCAATGAGGTTTCAATATCTATGACCACTTGTAAACGTAAATAATTTCCTAACGCTTCAAGAACCTTACAATATTCTAAGAAAGACAAGCCTATCTGCTAACCTTTGTCTATCATAGCAAGCTTAAAAGGTAGGTTATGGACTTGCTTCCGAACCTTTAGAGCTTTTCTAATCTCCCCCTTCCTACCATTCCGATAACATCAACCATTGGTCATAGACGAGCCAAGTAAGGGTGCAATCTATCTGATTTGAGCTGACTTTGGCATGTCTTGGCTTGATTTAACCAAAATACTACTAGGTTCGATCTCGAGTTCATGTTCGGTTCAAACTTTATTTTTTGGTTCGAGATTGATTTAATTAAATATTTGATGAACTCGAATTTAACTTAAAAGATTAAAAAATAAGTAATATATTTTTATAATATATAATATATTCTTACATTATATATAAAAATGTATTTTACATGAAATATTTTTTATAATATATATATATATATATAGCCAAGTTCACGAGCTTTTGAGCTTAACTTTTTATTAATTAAGCTTGATTTCAAATAATTAATCAAAAAGATTCCAATTGGAACCCTCAATTTGATTGCACTTTTAAATCAAGGTCCACTATCCCTCATGATCTCATAATCATGTTGGTAACGGAATCTAAGTTTGTAAGGTTGATATGGATCTAACCATTTGGTTCGATTACTCAAGTAAGATTTGAACTAAGGTCTTTAGGTTAAAGGATACCATTACCCCGTAATTCAAATTTTAGCCTACAAATATTATTATTATTATTATTATTATGACAAAACAAGTAAATATTTTCAGCAAACATTAAAACTGTCAAAAAAACAAAAATCTCGCCCTTGCAATTTAGGTGGTGTTTGATAACGTTTTTTCCGAGGTCTAGTGTTTGAAAAATTTGCTTTTTAGACATCAGATTCACTTAGTTTTACGTTTGAAGGAGTGGTTTAAAATGTGTTTTCAGATCTGAAACCATAAGCCCACGGCCTGTCACTTAACACGCTCAGACACATTTCAGAGGTAGCCCAAAGTCAAAAATATCCCCTAATAATTTTGAAATGACATGATTTGCCCCTATTTAAACCCAAACCTAATATCATTTGTTTCATCTCTCGAACAAGAAAGACGATATTGTTGTCGCCGAAGCTTTCCCTTTTTTCTCCATTTATTCTGTGGTTTCATTTATCATTCCGACCGATGAACTCTTAGGATACGCCACCAATGGAATAACCTTTTGCGAGGATAAATGGAGGATATGCCACCAATGAAGTTTTCTGTACCTAGAAGCATGGTTTTTAAAATCGATCGGAGACTGAACCGGTCAGGGTCCAGTTACTGGGTCGAACGGTCGGCCCGTCTAACAAAAAAATAAAAAATAGTCAAAACTATTCAAACGGTTAACCGCCTGGGTTAGCGGTTTGCTGACCAAAATCAACAGTTTTTGGAGAAAATCTAATTTTGGGGAAAACGGAACCGGTCACCTGACTGATTCCCGATTTTTCTAGTCCAACCGTCCGGTCCGGTCTAGTTTTGAAAACCATGCCTAGAAGCATCTTGCGGCCATTGCTTATAGCCGTTGATGGAGTTTTCTGTACCTGGAAATTTCCGCTTTGACCTGGCTTCCCAGAACATTCTCCCTTTGGTTCTTCCATGTTGGATTTGTGGAGATTGCAAATATTCAAAGACATGGTTTTCAAAACCGGACTGGATCGGCTGGTTGGACCGGAAAACCATTGAACCGCTTTTTCCCCAAAATTGTTGATTTTGGTCAGCAAACTGCTGAACCAGATGGTTAACCGTTCGAACCATTTGAATGGCCGGACCATTCAAACCGATAACTGAACCCCTGACCGGTTCGGTTTTAAAAACCATGTTCAAAGATCAAAGGCCTTTATTTCTGATGCCCTATCTCTTCCGCTACAATTGATGTAAAATAGAGCACCTCCTAAATTATTTTTAACAAATTGATGCAAAACAAGTTGACGGAGTTTTCCAATTTTATTCTTATTTTAATAGTTTTTAAGATATTAATTTGCTAATTATTAAATATTTTTTCATTGCTTCATGGACATTATTACTATTTTCATTATTATTTTAACTTTTAATAATTTATTTTAATTTACAAATTATATATATTTTCCACTTTTATTCTTATTTTTTATATTTTTTAATTTTTATTTGTATTAATTATTAATTAATTTAATTATTATTAACTATTAAATATTTTAATAGTTTGTAAGATATTAATTTGCTAATTATTAAATAATTTTTCATTGCTTCATGGATTTTATTACTATTTTTATTGTTATTTTAACTTTTAATAATTTATTTTTAATTTACAAATTTATACCTATTTTTCAACTTTATTCTTATTTTTATAATTTATTCGTATTTTTAATATTATTTTGAATTTAATAAATTATTTTTTATGAAATAATACAAATTAAACTCAAAATTACCAAAATCAGAAAATTACAAATGCTAAAAAATTGATCGACAGAAATAATTTCATATGTTCAACACCTCTAAAAAGTAAAAAGTAAAAAAACATTTATGCTTCTATCTAGATTTCATACATAAATAATATTTTTGTTCCTATTTTAGGTCGAAAACAGATGAAATTTCCGAAGAATTTCGTATAATTATGAACGCAACTCGAGAAAAAATTAAATTAATTGAACCGATAATAAAAAACAAAAACTAACATGTGAATCGAAAGCTAAGTGTCCATTTGTTTGACATCAGAAAGCCGCCGCGATGGAGTTTACATGTGCGCCCCACAATGCCCCACAGCACATCCCCCACCTTGTATTGGGAGCATCACCTGTACTGTTATCGGAAGATGTTCCCAATAGAAGGTGGGATGTGTGTGGGAAGCCCTCTTTGGGGCGCAGATGTGAAGTCGCCGCGATGAGTGGATTCGCGAACACCAGTGCCCCTCATTACTCTCACTCCCCAGTCCCCACCGACACGTTCGGGTGAAACTTGAAAACCCCATCTGCATTTCCACAAATCTAAAATGAATGATGGATATTACGGACGGTCTCAACCCCATTTTCTTTTTTATTTATTTATTTATTATTATTTCATATCTGATCTCCCTCTCTTTGTCACTTTGAGAATCTGAGTTCCTGTTAATTGAACAATTTTACTGTCAAGTGCGCGAGTGTCCACCGTCTTAGAGAAAGTACAAATTATACAGACAAGACAAAACGAAGCCTATCGAAATTCTAATCTACTTACACATCTATGTTCATTCGCACCAACGTGGGCATTGTAATGGTGAAATGAAGAAGAAAAACCAGACAAACGATCTGAATCTGCAGCTGCCCTCACTCCCCTCTCTCCCCTTCCACCATGTTCTCTAGCATCAAATCTACTCTCTCTCCTTTTTTCACCCTCTTCCTCCTCCTCCTCTCTTTGGATCTCATCGTTGCTTCTCATCGACAGACAACAGGATCAGATAACCCAGAGCCAGAATGCGCCGGACGCTGGGTCCACGTCAGGAAACTTCCTTCCCGCTTTAATCTCGATCTCCTCACCAACTGCTCCGATTACCCACTCTACGACGATTTCTGTCCCTACTTGGCCAATCATGGCCTCGGCCACAAGACCCACAACCGTTCCCGTAGCTGGTACCGCACCGACTCCTTCATGCTCGAGCTCATCTTCCACCGTCGCATCCTTGAATACCCTTGCCTCACCTCCGACCCTTCCACTGCCGACGCCATCTTCCTCCCCTACTACGCCGGCATCGATGCCCTCCGCTACCTCTTCGTCCCCGATATCAATTCCAGCGCCGAACACGGCCTCGATCTCTTTCGATTCCTTCAGAGTGATTCGCCTCACGTGTGGCAAAGGCACGCCGGCCACGACCATTTCTTGGTCATGGCCCGTGCTGCCTGGGATTTCTCTCGACCCTTGACCAACGATCCCCCGATTTGGGGGACTTCCTTCTTAGAATTGCCTGAATTCTACAACGTCACCGCGCTTACACTCGAATCCCGGGCTTGGCCGTGGCAGGAACACGCCATCCCCTACCCGACTTCATTTCATCCCCCAAATCTCCAATTGCTGGACTCCTGGATTGCCCGCGTACGACGCGCTCGTCGCACCATACTCATGGTCTTCGCTGGTGGCGGTGGCACGTCTTCGACTCCCAATATTCGACGCAGCATTCGAACCGAGTGCAGCAACAAAACCGGCATCAGTACTAGCAGCAGCAGCATCATCATTAAGCCATGTGAATTCATAGATTGTTCCAATGGCGTTTGCGAGCACGACCCAATTCGGTACATGAGGACAATGCTGCAATCGAGCTTCTGCCTGCAGCCCCCTGGCGATACGCCAACTCGGCGATCGACCTTCGACGGGATACTTGCCGGTTGCATACCGGTGTTCTTCGAGGAACAGTCGGCCAAGGCACAATTCGGGTGGCATTTGCCCGAGGAGCAGTATGGGGAATTCTCGGTCTTCATACTAAAAGAAGAGGTGGTGTTCAAGGGGCTGAGCATCATCGACGTGCTAACGGCGATTCCCAAGGCCGAAGTCAGGAGGATGAGGGAGAAAGTCATTGAATTGATACCCAGGATTATGTACAGGAGGCATGGAAGCTCCCTGGGATTGAGGGCGAAGAAGGATGCCTTCGATCTTGCGGTGGAGGGTACCATAAACAGGATCAAGTCAAGGCTTACAGAAGACGGACTTGGAGTCAGATGACCTCAATTCTGTTTCCTTTTACTCATTTGTTATTGTTCCTATTTATTTTCCTTTTTCTTATAAGCTACAACTTGATTATTAACACAGAGTAGAGAGAGAATTAGCAATTATTAATTCTTCTAATTTATAATAAAAGTTGAACGTTTTTGCTCATTGTTTCCTCCCTCAAGTGCTTAATCTGTGCATACCAAAAAAAAAAGGTGCTTAATCTGCTTAATGCTGCAATGAAAGATATAACTTTAGGTACTTCACGTTTGAAAAGTACCCGGTTGCACTTGTAATCTTATTCATATTCTACATACTGAGATGCAATAAAAAAGGGAAAAGAAACGAATCAAAAACCTTAGGTATGGATGGGAACAGGAATTGTATGTATCATCGGGGTAATAAACCCAGCAAGGTTTAAAAAATCTATAATGAATAAATTTATGGATCAAAATAATCCAGACACTAATCTTTCTAAACCATACCATTATAACTGAACACCTAGTAAATGACGGTATGGTTTAGAGTGATTAGTGTCTGGATTATTATCAGAACTCCACTAGATGCTGGCCTTAGTAGCCTGTTGCTTTATTCTGAAATTACTAGGTGCTCGGTTATAATTTCCTAGTCAAGTTTGTATAGAAATTTGTTATCTGGTATAAATTCATAGATAAATGGTTGGCATCTACAGCACAAATCAGCAATCACCTCCTACTCTGGCATTCCATGTGAAATGTTTTGTTCTTCTTTTGTCCTCATAGAAGAAGTTAGAATTTTGATTTGACAAACAGGTGAATGGTCAGTGATGGTATCAAGTGCTTCTTGTAGAAGTCCTTTAAGTCATTTGACATGGTGTTATTGATAACCATGCCCAACTAACTTGCCTTACTTTATGTCAGTTTTGCTGTTTTACTTCTGTTCCGGTAGAAGTCCAGCTTCATGACAGTTTTATTATTGATAACCATGTCCAACTGACTTACCTTACTTGTTCAAAATGATATGAATTGTCATTTAGATTCCATTAAGATTGGATGCACATCCTTAAATCTCTAACAGGATTTCTTGCTTCTTTTGATTGACCTTTATTCTTCTTGCTTCTGGTTCTCATATGTGGACTGGAATTTCTCTATGGGAAAATATGGATTAGACTGCAATTGCTTTTCTTAGAAAAGAAAAGAAAACTGGCATTGATCCCAAGTATGTGGTTTTGATTATTGATTTACTTTAACAAGTACTAAGGTTTGGCACACTGAAACAATTGGATTGGTTCATACCAGTAAGTCTGGTATGTGTTCTGAGTACATTTGAATCCAATTTAAAAATCATGCCTTGGGGGGAGACACCATCAGCTTAAAACATAACAGACGTGGTGGATACATCTAGTGGTTCCATTTTCTATAATCAACTATACAAACTATACACAATAAGTAATTCAAGGATGAGTTCTGTGCCTGAACTGGTTGTTCTGTGGAGATGTATCAGAGACAGCAGGTATACCCAATCCACCAAATGTATCTTGTTCGTGGCCTGCAACAGATGTGGAGGGATCACTTTCTTTTCCGATCATCTCATCATTGTTTGAGTTATCCTTATAGGGAAGTAATAGAACTTTAGAGCCTTGAATTTCTAAAGGGGACTCATCCTCACAGCTATTACTCTGAGAAGAAACAAATTCCAGTTTTGATTTTCTCTATTTGGTGAACAATCTTTATTCTTTGAATCAGAGCTATTCTGTACTTTCCTGATTTGGATCACTTGCTTGTTTTCATAACCTTGAACGACTGAATTGTCGATAATTTTGTGAAATGAAATCCCGGTTGCCAGGTTCTTTAAGCAGGTCAGTGTAATCCAACCATGAAAGCTCATCCAAGGAAGGAATAGTAGATTATACCAGGCAAGATGACTCATTGCTTCCTGATGGGTCTGGTTCACTCTGAACTAATAGAAAGGTGATATCAGTGTGCCCCTTTAGGTAAGTACTTCCACCTTTCTTAATAGGAATCTTAGTTCTCCTAGGACTGGAGAATAGGGGTGCTTTATTAGATGGAGGTTTCTTAGTTGGGACTGGCAGTGAGAGATGTATGGACTAGGAAGGGTTCAAAAACAATTAAGGAATGCCCACAATCTACACAGAAAACATTACTAGGGAGTTAGCCTCCAAATATCATATCTACAAAAGTAGAACCTTGATTTCAGGTTCATCCCATCTTCCCTGGTAGAACTGTGTAATTTACTTGCTCTAAATTCCTCAGTACCTGACATCATGACCTTTCTTAATAGGAAGCTTCATTCTCCTAGGATGGGAGAATAACAGTGCCTTATTAGATAGGTTCCTTAGTTGGGAATGGCAGTAAGAGATCTAGGAAGGGTTCAAAAACAATTGAGGAGTGCCCACAATCTACACAGCAAACAGTACTAGAGAGTTGGCCTCCAAAATATAATATCTACAAAAGTAGAACCTTAATTTTGAGTCATCTCATCTTCCCTGGTAGAACTGTGTAGTTTACTTGCACTAAATTCCTCTGTACATGGGCTATCGAGTATGTATTGGACTTGGAGCACATCATGGCTGACATATTGCTGGTATCCCCTAAATTTGGGGAATTTTGAACAAATGCATCCAAACAAGGCTTTTAGATTCAACCCATTCTTCGGATCTGCCTCAGAGACTGGTTTGCTTCAAGTGCTTTTTCAATGCTATAGTTGTTACTTGGATGAATACATCTTACCTATGATTATTGAGAGGCACAACAACTTTCTTTCACCTTGGAGTTTGGCTATGACTTCACAATGTGTGTTCCTACAGAAATTTGATTTCTTGAGCAATGCGAATTATTTTGCCATGACCAGTGAGAAATTTTAGATATTTTCCCCTACAATTGTATGATTTTGTATTCTAATTTGAAATACACCTTTTCACTATGTTTTGTCATTCACTGGTTATGAATGGTTATTGGTTGTTTTGGATATGTTTAATTCTCCTTTTCATTCTTCTATTGTCTTTCAGTTGGAAATTTGAACCTTTTGAGTTCTTCCTTTTACATTATGATATTCCAATAGAAAATTCAGATTCTTTAAGGAATAATGGATGCCTAAGTTAAATCCCTTTGATTTATTGTTTTTTCTCTTTTCAGTGACTAATTGAATATGGAGCAGTTCCAGTTTTATGCAAAAATTCTTTTCATTTTTTTAATGATTACTATCCTGTATTTTCCACTTTAGTTTTGTTGAGAAATTTCTGATGGGCTTCTTCTGTTTGTTGCAATAATTGGGTAGTTCTTCGAGTAATGCCGTCCATTTTTCTAAACTTTAATTTGCTGCTCAATTGTTAGTTTGGGTTGAAGTTCTGTCTCTTGGAGTACACATGTGAATTGTCAAGTGTTTCTGTAGAAGTCCTTACATCATTGGACATTGTGTTACTGATAACCATGCCCAACTGAGTTATCTTACATTAGAATTTGATGCACATCATTAAAGCTCTAACAGGATGTCTTGCTTCCTTTCATTGACCTTTGTTCTTCTTGCTTGTAGTCCTCATGTGGATTGGAATTTCTTTGTGAGGAAACATGGATTGTACTGCAATTTCTTTTCTTGGACTTGCAGATGCATCCATTCTAATGTCCATTACTTATAATAAGTATGTACTGAATTAACTTAATTTGTTCTCTGTTTTGATTGGTTTCACTTTGGAATTAATTGGTCTGCTGACTGGAATTTCTGTGTAGAAATATGGATTGGATTGCAATTTCTTTTCTCAGATTTGCAATTGCATCCATTCTAATGTCCATTATTAAAACGAATGTTTTTAAACACGGAGGCATGACATGAGCTGTAGTTCAGAACATAAGAGGTGTAAGCCTCCTGAGCACAAAAAATGTAAAGCCTCCTTGAGAGGAGAGGGATGAGGAGGAGGAAGAATAAGGGGAAAGAGGATCATTTTGTTTTTGTTTCTTTTTTTTTTTATGAAAGGTGTCTTGTATCAAGGAGGATGCATAACGTTAGCTGAAAGGGGGAGTCTTTTTGAAGTGTAGGCGAGCGAGCGGGCTGGAGTGGCTTAAATTGGGTTTACACCCCACAAGTTAGAAATCATACACTACTACAAGAAAAAAGATTTTTAGTGATCACACCTAAAGGCAGCTAAAAAAAGCACCTTCAAGTGCACTTTATTGGGTGGCTTAAATTGGGTTTAAAGGCATCTATTTCCAAGCCTCTAATTCATATTAGTGACCCCATGTATACATTTGTTGGCAATTTTTTGGCATGGAATGTCTCTTCCACAGTGAAAACGTGGAGGTCTATGAAAAACCCTCTTTCTAACCCAAGTTCTCAAACAGAAAAAATAGGGCTTGCAGTCAGTATTCTGAGAATCAAAGAACACAGTAATCCAAGGCCTTTCTCTCTCTCTCCTGTTTCTTCTTCCCTCTCTCTCTCTCTTCATTCACTCTCAGCTCATTGCCCTTTTATGTTCATTGCCCCCAATATTAAATGTAAAACACCAAATCTCTTTCCTTTCTCTCTCTGTATCACTGTGTCCTTCATTCTTTTGCTTTTGGTATATATTCTGGTTTCTACTATTTATATGGATGTTGGTGTTCTACTGTTTGAGTTCGATTTATAATTTTATATGGTCTGAGTCAACCTTAATTATGCAATTCCATTGCTTTGATGCTTGTTTTCTAGGCTCTGATTGGATCAATAAGTTTGGTTTTACTGCACTTGAGCTTTGATTTGTGCATTGCTTTGCAGCAAAGGATGACAAGACATTGATTTTGAATTTGGATTATGCAGATGGTCATGTCCAATCGAAGGTAATGTTTATGTTCTTGAATCAATCTATTGCACCAATTGCTTTGTCTGAACTTTGAATCTCCTGTTCACTGGCAGTTGGAATTTGTGGAGATGATCCAAAATTAGGTTTTTATTGTTTGTTGGTTTACACTATTTCATAGCTTATATGATGGGAGATGTGAGGATTTTGATTTTTTGAATTTTCTTCTACTTGTTAGTAGTAGGTATAGGTGCATCTTGGGCGGGCTTATGGTGGGATTTTGTTGAAGTTGAATGGGTCTGGAATACCAGGCCCTATGCAGTGTAAATTTTTCAAATCGGGTACTGATTTGCACTCCTTATAGTGGTAGCACTAGCAGAGACTACTAGTATGGTGGTGAATCAACCAGT